AAAAATTGTGGTTCTTACTTTCCCCTCCAGGAGTGTTTGGTGGTGTAGAAACAGGCCAGGTCTTTGTTGTCTTTGACGACATTCATCTTTTCACAGGACCTACGACACAAACACAAAGTTAGCCTTTCGATATATATTCAAACCAGGTACAGGTAACATTTAGGGAAATAAAAAAGTGTAAGATTGAATGTTTGGTTACACAGCAGAATGAGGGAAGGATCTCAGTCAAGTCATCATATAACCAGCACCCAGACCTTTACAAGTCATTAGCATGTCAAATCCATATAACACACATTCCACCATACTGCCACACACTTAACGCAGACTTTCAACATTTTGCAGCTCATATGAAGAGACTCCCACCAGACGCTTCCATGGCTACAGAAACAACAGAGCTGATTCCACTCATATTACCTCAGCTATGAGACATAGCTTCACTGCAGTTGGTGGCACATCACTTCCAATTCATTACCACCCTCTCCTCTCTGATATCTCCACTGGGGTAAAGCATGTTCAGCAGAAAGTAGATAAAGTAAAGGTCTTCCATTCCATGCTGTTATCACAGGCACAAAAACAACACAACAGTGGACCAGCTGAGCATTTGTCAATACTGTCTGGTGCAGAGCCTGTGTGGTCTATTGATCCCCTTTAGATAAACAGCCTTGGTGACTAATTTGGATGAAAAATCATTGCAATTTGTAATAAGACAGCTACACACTCTCAAACCTGGACAGTATATTCACCAGTATCCATTTTCTTGTCACTAGATCTGAAGAGCTTCCTTCTGAAATAAGACACACAGCATCTTAGGATGGTGTTAGATATGAAAGCTACAAACTGATAGTGACCAGACCATTGTCGGGAAAAATTAGGGATTAACTGCCCTTCCTATCGTTAGTGCAGTAATTTGCTTGCGACTGCACTGTGACAAGAGGAACCTGTGTCAGCACTCTGCCAGGATCCTGGAAAAATCTGACTCCAGTTTTCCTTTCTCTGCGTTTCAGTGCGCAAATGAAGCAAGGAGCACAAGAGTAGGGTCACATGATGGAATCCACCATTCACCAACAGTGTCTGAGGCAGGACACAGATATACAGACTGGTTTTCACAACACCGAATGACAATGTCTTCAAATGCTTGATGCCTGTGCTGGAGAAACAAAAGTTGCAAGGAACAGTCCAGGGCCAAGTTTCGTATCAACATTGTTTTTCTATCTCGAGCATGATGCATTCATGGAGCTGAATACTGAATCTATTACGAAGCAGGGGGCTGATAGAGGCACAATAGATGTGAGCAATAAGCAGAGCACAGCATGCACTGCTGCAAAAGAAGGCAATGCTGTTTTTGTTTTTGTTACTGTGATGCCATAAAAAAGCCATGAAAGCAGCTTCGAGGACTGGATCATGTGAGTACCCCCTCCCAGTACTTCCTCCCAGTATGCAGATCAATAGCAAATTATTCATGGTCTCAGTTTAGGAAGAGACGACAGCGAAGGAAATTAAATTGGAGTGTAGCACACAGCACTCACAAAATTAACATAAAACTTCAACACTGGTCTCACAACATTTGGTTTTGATAATTGATAACATACCTACATGCTGTAATGTGGTCAGCTGGGGCAGGGGGTACTATCCCATAGTGTATACTGGCTCTTGCAAGATGTCCTGCTAATAGGATTGAGTCAAACCTCTACATGGGGACAAACTGCAACAGGCCGCATGTTACTGGCAAGGCAGCAGCTACAGCCATGATATGACTAATGACAATTAAATCTCAAAACTGTGCAAACATCTTTTTCTCTACCTAATTTAAAGTGTCATGATTACCCAGTTTCTCACAGCTGCACCAACTGTTCCCTTAACAAAAGCATAAAGAACAGGACAACTGCAGGTACAAGGGTTAACTTCATCATGTGCTCACTATTACATCATTATATAGTCATAACCATTTTTCTCCAGTATAAAAAACCCCATAAAGATCTGACCTGAGCTACAAGTGCAGAAACTAAACATGTAAATATAACAACGAGCCAAATCAATGAAAACATCTGGTCCTTCAGAATAAAACATGACATGGGAACATCCTGCTGGCTCCCCTTCTTTAAAGATGTCCAGGCACAGAGGACATTTTGCAATGGCCTCTCTTTATTTACCAATTATATGAAGCACTGTCCCCACAACACAGGGACATTTAACCCCCCGAAACTTCTCAATACACCTCGTAGGATTGTGTCTGACATACACGAACGCCCTGGTCGTGATGCACTAAACCAATTATTTCACAAGTCTACAGATATGAAGATGAACGTTAGCTTCAAAATGGCTCATTTAAATCGTTAAATGCTTTGGGGGGATGAGCGCTGGTGAAGCTCCCGATCTGTCAACTGTATCCATGACAGGCGGCGTTAACGTTACCTGGCTCCCGAGCAGCTAGCTTCATCGCAGCGGGCCTACGCGCTTCGCTATCCGGCTAAAAACAAGCACGACAGCGCCGTTTGTGCTCACGTCTTCGCCGCTGCTTCGCCTTTTACCAGCGACGGACACCTTCGCCGCCAGCGTTCATCTGTAACATGCGGGTGAAAACGCGCTGAAGGGGGGAGACGGCTGACGTTGGGCTAGCCCGCAAGCTAAGCGTGTAGCATACCAGAGAGGTTTGCTAGGCTAGTTAGCAGCGGGGTTCAGTGAAGCGGACATGGAGAGGATGGCTGCGGGGAGAGTGGCAGCTGCTCCCGGGTGCGTTTACCTGTCGACTCGCTAGCGGGCGTTGTTCGTAGGCGACCCTCAGCCCCCCACCCTCCTCCGACTGCGGCTGGGAGCTGCTCGGTTTTCCCACCGTGATGCTGGAGGTGCTCGGTTACGCCGTGTTCCCCCCGACAGGGCTCAGGACGCTGCCATATTCCTGGTACCACCAGTGTGCCGCTGCGCATGCGCCGCGCCTGCCCTGTCATGCGGCTGTCAGCTGATTGGTTTGTCTGGACGCGGAAGTATCGACGGACCTGACTCCAGATCAGTTTTACATTAAGTCTCCTCGGGGTTTACATAAACACACACAAAATAAACGGATCTGGGAACGGTTTAGACAGACTATGGGCAGAAGGGGTTTAAAAGTTTGGGGCAAAAGTATTTTCTTTCCATGCTACTGTGTTTCCAATTAGAATAAGTACTTTTCTTTAGCTTTAGTTATTGGACACATACAATAATCGTATTTAAAATATGAACATTGTATAACATTTATATTTAATACATTCATTTTGTTTATGTTTTAATATAACTCTTTGCTCCTATTCTTTTTTATTTGAATTATATATTTGACTGGGCCACACCCCTGTTTCATCTCTATTTCCCTCTTGATATATTAATTAAATATCAATTAAATCTTTACATATTTATAATACACTCTGTGGGTTGATATGACTGTTGTGCCCTCTATGGGCGGTACGTCATCAGTGCAGGCGACAGTAATAAAGTCAGGTTTAACACCATTAGGCCACAGGAAGACTGAGTAACACAGCCAACACACTCACTCACACTCACACACACACACAGCAGTAGCAGTACATATAAAACATATAAAAGTTTTACAATCTTTTGGAATTACAGTTTACATTCACTTAATCTCTCTACTTAATGAGTGTATTACACCCAACATGAGCTGTATTGCTTCTAAGTCTGCTTTTTTGTTAAATTCTTTATTATTAGTAATATTCTGTGCTCGTATTTGATTTTTCTTTGCATCTCTTTCAACCACTTTATTATATTTTTGAAGGTTTGCTCAAATAGCTTACAGACCAGCTGCTGGCCATCAACATCCACAAATATTTAACTTGCCACACAAGCTAAAACACACTAAGACTAACACATTGGCCCCTCACACACTCCTGTACTGGTTATGGTTGTAAACTAGTGTTTTCTATTTTCAGTATTAAATTGCAAGTGACTCACCGTGACTGAAGGTAAAGGGGAAACATCTTGGCCTCTGTGACTGACTGATGTTGCACAGTGAAGTTGAGCGGGACAGCACAGAGTGGTCACATTATGAAGCACTGATTAGGTGACCAACCATGCGCTGCCCGTTAGTCTAATTCAATTACAGCAAGAGAGACATTAGGGGGAAAAGAATTTCCTTCTTTTCTCTTTGGACCCGCCTTGACAGAATGGATAGCGATATTCTTTAGGCTTCAGTGACAGAGGATAAGAAGGAGGCGCAACTTTATCTCTGAATAGTTTTTATTCAGCTCATGTGGACTCTAATGAGTTTAACTGATGGAGAAGCTGTCATGTTGACTCCCATCTGAATTTAAAGGCTGTGTGTTAAAAGATCACTCATGGTTGATTGAGCTGTAAATGAACAAATAAAAGCTCTGCATTAACAAAGACTAGTTTATCTGTAGTTTGATTAGAAATGAAGAGAGACACAGAGGCTACATGATCAACAGTGAAATATGTTAGTTAATGGAGAAAAGCTCAATGGAAATGGCGTCATGTGACTCAATATACAACAGATCAAATGAATGTGGAGCAAAATTTTTGTATGAACTCAGTAAGTGAGGAAATACAATTTAAAGAGCTTTCTCTGTTGTCAAGGTGTTGATAATAAAATTATGTTTTCTTTGAAATTGCTTTTCTTATTTCCACATTTTCTAATATTGTGAAAGAGGGTTCAAAACCACTGCTACATAGCTCCACGTCACGCGATTTCAAACAAATGCCAAATTGTATTACTACCATTGACAAACAGGACACATCTATTCTTTTACTAGATTTTAACGCTTCTTATATTTTGTATTAATATTAGAATGAATACGTCTTTTCCCCCCCAATAGCTTCCATGTCATGTGACCCACTGACTCGACGAATGCTGAATTGTAATACCACTATATTCTATATCTATATTACGAATACAAAATGACCCACACTATAATTATCATGATGATGATGATAATTATTATTATTAATCATCACGTTTTGTTTCGTGTTGTACGTAGCACCCTTGAACGCACCGCCCGTAACCAAGGCAATGACGCTCTTCTCCGTTACCAAGGCGCTCTCACGGCAAACACTAGCAGCGTAGCTAGGCTAAGCTAACGGGACAGATAATCTTATAGCCATGATATAACATCCGCCTCTTCACCGGGACGAACTTTACGTCAACTTGAGATTCATTTAAACCTTCGCCTCCAGCTCATCACCTTCACATTCACCTTCACTTCGCTGTTGTCGCTTTAGTTAGAGGCTGAAACACGCGTTTCCAGGATCGCCTCAGTCTGAAAGCTAGCTAACTTAGTTGCCTCAACGTTAGCTGCGCAGCCACCATGGTGAGTAGCCGCTTCCCTCCGCTGTCCGTGGCCAGCCAGGCCACCTGTTTGCGTTTAGAAGTTAGCATGCTAAATGTTTAGTCTCTCTAAACCCCAGGGCACGATCAGGATTCACTGACGTTGCACACAGACAGATATGAAGTGTGTGAGGGAGTGTGTGTGTGTGTGTGTGTGTGTGTGGACGGGCCCTGTCACACACGAGCAGGAGAAAATCCTCTTGGAGTTAGCTGATCAGCTAGCTGTGGGTGCTAGTACAGTATCTCCCCCATGTCTACACACTTCTTTGGTTTTCACGTCACTCTTTGTCACCTATTTCTCGCTGCTTGTCTCTGCACAGGCTGAATTTGGATTCAATGAACAGCACCAGGGTGAAGTCATCAATTACATGCGGTTTGCACGTTCAAAGAGGGTCCTGAGGCTCAAGACTATTGATTCATGCTTTGAGGAACTCAAGGATAGCAGGTGATCGGTGATCAGCAAGTTTTTGGTGCCATTGTTTTGATGTAAACTCAACTTTTCAGCTCAAGTGGATCTGTGATGTGAAACTGTGTGTGTATGTGATGTGTGTTGTCTGCAGGCTGGTGGAGGAAACCTTCACCGTGGACGAGGTGAGGGAGATGCTGGACGGGCTGCAGGTGGTGGTGCGTGGGGAGGTGGAGATGGAGCTCATCAACACGGCCCACACCAATGTGCTGCTGCTCAGGCAGCTCTTCTCCCAGGCTGAGAAGTTTTACCTCCGGCTGCAGAGCGACATCTCAGAGCTTGAGAACAGGTGAGTGAGGCAGACATTTTTGGCAGAGGGTGACAAATACACGAATGTTCCCACAGGAGTACAACATGTATTATGAGGTAAACAGCACTTCCAAGTACAAGATCATAACAAGTGCACAAATGAATGATGTTTGTGGTCACGATGTGGAACTTGTACGCAAAGATTGAGCATTACACTTACATGTTACAATTTAAAAACTGTGCTACGCTTCTATACACCACACCTAATGTTCAGGTGCAGAAAAGGCCCTATATGCTTTGAAACATCGTATTTCCTCCTCCGTACAGATCTGCTGTGTCTCTGTTGTGTCAGGAAAAAAAGGTCATCGCCAGGCCACATATGCAATTTACACCTTTTTTCCATCACACAGGTTTTCTCTCTGCAGTAATGCTCAGTTATTCTGAAAAGCACAACTTCTGCCATCTTTTCACTACATTCAAAAAGTTTTCTTCTGACTATAACACGGTGTGTTTTTTAAATAAAATGCTCCAATTCTTAAAGTGGTACAAAGTTATGTGATCACATGAAGTGTCATTGGTTTATGGCCACATGTGATGAAGTCTGAGCAAAAACTTAAAGGTGGTGTTGTATGTGGTGTTTCTGAAGATGCCAAGAGGGTTTTTGTTCATATTACAAGTCTGAGCATAGATCAAAGACTACAGGTGATACCAGGAACTATGATAAATTACATTTGAACTGTTGCCAGAATCTACAGTGCATTCTTGACATTATGGCAAAGGAAGTTTTAGGGCTTTTTGACATATAGGTGTTTATGTTTTGTTTTTTTTACAATAATTCACTGTAGCACACACTCATACCCACTCACAATATATTATAATCTTTAGCATCAAAGACAACGGTCAAATATTTTAAAAAGTACTAACAAGCCAGTGCCAGTTTGATCATAAAGCTCCAGAGTACACGTGCAGAGGGTTGAATGCATTCTCCGTCTTCTGTGATATTCAGATGAACTTTATTCAACGTTTGACCTCTGGAACCTTTTGCACTTATTTGTGTTTTGGAAAAGTATGTAGTATGCACTCAGTGGGTGGATCAAGAAGCCCTGATGCTTTTTAGTATTTTGCAGGGCTCAGCTCTACGTGACTTGATATGGTGTGTAAAGTAGGTAATACGCCCCATGTCACAGTCTACGTGTGTTCAGCTGCTTTTGAAAAACCACATTTAAGCTTTTTAGAAAACTGATCTGTTCACCACAGGCATCTCATTGCCTAAGTGTTAAACTGCCGAAAACAAGGGTGTTTATTTATGTACTTTACATTTGCCGTGGGAAGCTGACAATTGTGTAAAGTGATAGATTATCAGTCACTCAGTGATGCGTACACAGTCTTAACTCTATGTTATCCACCAATGCTTGATTAAATCTAAAAAATAAAGAGTTAGATAGAATATATTTTCTTCTTTTCTCTGATCTTGTCATCGTTATTGGGATGTTTAATTCTTTGCTAATCTCTGCTCATCTAGGGAGCTGTTAGAACAAGTGGCTGAATTTGAGAAGACTGACTTTAAAACCACTGATAAGGTGAGATGAATGTGCAGCTCTGTCATTCGTAGACCGTAGAACTCCACCACCAGCATAGTCATCATTAATCATGAGTTAAAAGCGTTTTTTTATACCCAGATGGAATAGAGTAAGTGGAGAGGAGCACAATGCTTCTGTGCGTTTTGTAAGATTTGTCGCGTCGCTTGGCTTTACGAAGCAGCTCAGCAATCACTCAACGCTGTGGCTGTCGTGTGGCTTCACACATTTACTTTGTAATGCTTTTCCACCACATTGGTGATCTTACTCATTTACAGACAGTAAAGTCGCATGTCACGTTTCTTAGAAAAGGAAGATTTATCAGATGTAAAATCTGTGTTTTAGTTTGACTGTTAAATCTTATATCCAGTATTAGCGAAGCAAATGTGATGTTTTTCAAGATTAAGAATGTCACTGTTTTTTTATCAGATAAACCAGGAAACAAACAAACCCAAGTTAGCACCGCTGAATGAAGGTGGGGTGTCGGAACTTCTCAACAAGGTGAAGAAACACATTGCATTAGATTTAACGTTCAGTTGTTGCACTGGATTATTATCAGGTTCACACACTCATGTGCATCTGTGTTTAATATTTCTACAGGAGATAGCGAGACTACAGGAGGAAAACAATAAACTGAAAACCAGGCTGCGGACTTTAGAATCCCAGGTATAAAAATAAGTCACATTCTTTTTTTTTTTAAAGCAGACTTTTACGTATTTTCATTGTTAACTTCTTGCTCTGATTAATGTTCCCTAGACTATGAGTGCACTCGATGAGAGAACCAGGGCCGAGCGAGCACTGAAAGACCTTCAGAAGGTGCAAGGTGAACAGCAGGTACTGTTCCATGTTTGATCTACAAGTTACTTCATTGTCATTGGTGACATTTTGAGTTTGCTTTCTGTTTTACTACTTACATTTGTTTTAGTAATTATCATTTATATCAACACTGTCTGTCATTGTGCTTTTTGTGTGCTAACTTGGATCTGAAATGGTATGTATGTAGCTGATCAGTGTGTCTTGGAATTTAGGAATAGAAGGTATCCATCGTGTAGAATAAACATGCAACTGAACTCGTTTGTTGTTTCTTTTTCCTTCAAGTTTGCTGCTCAATCCCAGGAGATCAACTGTCTAGAGGACACCGTGGCGTCTCTGAAAGAGGACTATGAAAGGTCTCTCAACGCCAACGCAGCCTCCCAGAAGGATCTGCAGGAGAACCTGATCTCTGCCAAACATGAGCTGCTTCGAGTGCAGGAGCAGCTGACCCTGGCAGAGAAGGTACATCACTGTGGTCTTCACCCCCAACTGAAAAAAAGTGAAATACCCTGAAAACCTATTTTCCGTCCATGCAGCTAAAGTCAAAGCAGCTCTGTTTATGTCCTATGAAGTGGGCAGGGCTCAGTTGGTTTTAGATGAAGTCATCTACTTCTGTGCACCAATTAGAATTTAGCTCAACTTGATTCCACAGTTGTGGGTTTGTTGGCTGATGCTTGTAGGCCACTGTGTCAGTCAGTTTGATCCAATCACAGGATGTAACAACCTTGGCTGGTCCCACCATACAACAAAGATAAAATGTGCTTCAAATAGATAAACCAATATCAGATACTTTCTTCTCTGGCCAGTTTTCAGTACGGGTACATTCAGCCTCTGCTCACATGTTTCTATGTGTATGTTGTGCAGGAGTTGGAGAGGAAGTTCCAGCAAACTGCAGCCTACCGCAACATGAAGGAAATCCTGACCAAGAAAAACGAGCAGATCAAAGATATTAGAAAACGACTGCAGAGGTGAGCGCCTCTTACGACATGTTCTGCTCCCTGTGTAGATCACACAGGAATTATACACACTTTAACTTTTATTAAATTCCATCAAAGTCTTCTCTTCACACATTATATGAGTGTGGACAGATATGGACGTAAATTATAACTTTTCTGATGGCGAGAACACACGACCAAAAGGCCTTAATTCTATATTAATCCTAAAACTGTGTTCTCTGTTTCAGATACGAGCCCAGTGAATGAGATGTATCCAGGACAGCTGGGTATACAGAGAGAGGACCGAGCTGAACATTTAATGACTGCGGTTCAGACAAGAAACCATCAGTTCCAACGCTGTGAGACAAGAGACAGAGAAACAAGTGTCTCTTTGCTTTATGTGGTGTCTTCAGTAGAGTTGGTAGCAGGGAAGTCGACAGTAGGCCGAGCTGAATCCACAAATTAAATAGTAAGAAATAATAGCTTTCTCCAGCCGTGCTTATTTTCTGTCTCGGTTTCAGAGTTCACTAACAGTAGCTAGCAGACTTCCCTCAGTGCTCTATGCAATGACCATCATGTCCCTGTTTGAAGAGGCCTTTTCCATTTTCTAAAGCTTCGCAGTCTACTATCAGACGGATCTGAGTAACTTAGCTTATCACAACTGGATTATTGGTTGTTGATTTTTAGTCGCTCCTGTGTAGTCAAAATCTATTATTGAGAGTTTCAATCAAACCCCAGGATAGTTTGTTTATTATTAGTGAACAGCTTTGAAATGTTTCCTGACCCTTTTTCACTAAACATTAAACAGCATTTTACAAAAATATTTTCAGTGACCTGACATTCTGTGAAAGTCTGATCATTGAAAATACAAACACACATTTTTTTTGCATTATTTTTCCAGTTTTGAAAATTGAATGATACAGATAGTGATAGATTGATTTCCCTACACCCCCTTGAACAGAGGACATAGAATATTTTGTCTGTGTACTTTTCATTTTGCTGTGGGTGACAGAGTGCAAGTGGAAAAAAGAAATAAATCTATACATGATGTTCATGAAGTAATGCTCTTGCAAAGTATGATACATCTACCCTATATTACACTAGACGTGCATTTGTTTGTATTGTGCAAAGTATGGGGTAATAAAAGCTATTACCAAATATATCATGTGTGCTCACTATCATATCTTTGATATTCTTACTTTACGTATATAATCAGAAACTTTCAAAATATCTTAAACTCAAGAATCTTTTTTTTTTGGAACTGACTAATTCAACAAGGGGGTGCTGTACTGCAATAAAACAGGAGACATAAATTACAGCATGACCCCTAATGAACTTAAACAATTCTGATCACGTCATTTGATCAATATTTTAATCATTTACACACACATATATATATATATAATAAGTGCATCACTTTGAGGTATGAAGGAGATTAAAGTGAGCTGTTGATCAAGTGAAGTTTCAGTATTGCTTCATACATGAACTGCTCTGTTTTTTCTAACCATATTTTCTCGGTAGTGACTCACTGGTCAGAACTCCGAGAAGAAAGACAAGAGAGAAGTAACGACGTTCTGTAAATTCTGTTTAGATGGAGGAGGATATCTCAAACTTCAACTAATATAAAGTGAGTGAGTTCAGCAACACAATGAGATCTGTAACAACTAGATATGTTAGAAAATCTGTATTAGATAGTAAGATTAGAGAAAGTGGAGATTTGACTCGATGGAGGGAACACTAGTCTTAAATTATAATTATTTGGACTTTGTGTTGTTTGGTGTGCAGGAGTCGTGCAGTGCAAAGAAAGAGGCGGAGGATGATATCACACTAAATATCCTTCAAATCTTTTTCTCCTCCTGACAAAATATTGGAGATAGAAACTGAAAAAAGGCAAATAATTTCTCAGACACTTTTTCTTTTCCAAAATACAGATCAGAAAAACAAAAGAGTATCGTGTTCATTTGCTTACTGCGTGTGTTTGTGTCAGTGTTACAATTTTCGCGTGCGTGCATCTGTTTCCTATCAGCCACAGCTGAAGAGAAACCGTCATGATGATTTCAGGGTGCAGAGAGCTGAACAGTTGTGTATCAGTGCATGAAATAAATCACAGCCAGCAGGTACACAGGAAGTGGTGACTACAGTCTCTCAGTTACAAGCTCGACAGTGGCAGAACTTTCCCACAATATGGGGCCAATGTTAATATGTGTCTGAGCGACGTGCTGGTATACAGCAGCTTCCTGTTCCCTGTCACTGGGCATCAAAGGGGTTTTCTCAGTTTCAATAGAGAGACAATAGCTCCTGTTGCCTGGATTTTCTTTAGAATCACCAGGCAATGACGCACATTTCGGCATTTCGTTTCTTTGTTCTTGTGACGTGTGCAATGACAATAAAGTTGAATCTAATCTATTCTAAATATGAGGTGATGTCCAGAGTACAGTCTGATTCTTAAAAACAATAACAACGTGATCTTTAGCAGAACAGCAGATGCACTATAGTAGCTTCTTCATTACAAATACATGTTGCGGGCCCAAAATGGAAGATACAGATTATGCAGGACAAAATGAAATGATGTAACAGCCGGTTTACAGTTTAAAATTAGGTAAAGTGGTCATTTAGACAGAAAGTGAAGGGATCACCACTAGTTATTGAACTTTACCTGTTTTCCAAAAGAAGAATGCAGACTGTGATACATGAACGTAGCAGTTTCAGATATACATTTGATGCAGGTTTCATTCCTGTGTTAACTTTCAGACACTTCCGTTATCTAGATTCTTATCCAGCATTCAACGCCAACATCCTGAAACATGCAGCCAGAGTCAAAGCAGAACTATCTTCAGCCTTGCTCTCTTTTCTCTACACGTCGTGTTTCAAGTTCAATTGGAAAGCGTCACTTTCTTCAACAACCGGTTCCCAGGAGAAAACACTCGCCCGTTTGTGACACACAGTCTGTTTCCCCTGTGCCACGCTGTGATCACAACTGAAAAACGCACCCAACAGTCCGAGGGGCCCTCGCGCTGTTGCACCAAGAGTTCCTGGTGGCAAGAGACTGAGAATGTTCTTTCAGTCACGGGAGTGAAACTCAAGAAAGAGAGAGCGGCCAACGCGTTACCTCTGCACGACACAACCAGGAACCTGATCTGAACATTTCCAATAAGTACTAAACATTTCAAACAGGGCTGTCGTTAGTTTTCATTCATGTGGCTGAATTGCTTTATTCAGTATGATTTTTTTAAATTTTTATTTTAGCTGAAGCAGGTGGTGTGACTGGGACTTTCTGCTGTGCAATGTTGTGACGTTGTGGTCAGCTGTGAGCATGTGATTGCTTTTGTCTAGTTGATTCAGTTCCACTTTGCTTTCTGTGCAGCAAGTAGATTTTTTTAGTAAATATCATGTGAATTTCTTTCACTTTACAACTGACAGTGAACATTCACTGGGTGAACAGAGGCTTAAGTTATCCTGCCTGGTTCCAACCTGGTCCTTTGCTGCGTGTCTTCCCCCACCACCACCCTGCTCCACATTTCACACTTACTACCCTGCCGATAAAGGTGAAATCCACGAAAAAATATCTTTAAAAGCAAACAAGTATATTTATCACAGAACACTTCAGGAACACCATCTTAATTCTGGTCAGGGCCTCCCTTTGCATTTCTTTCTAGTGAATTCAAATGTGTTTTCATAAGGGGACCGTGGGGTGTTTTATTTTATTCTATATTTTTACAGAGCTAAAGAATCCCAAGGTAAATGTCCCTGAAACCCGGAGCCTCACTATTTCTTCATTGGGAGGTTGGTGACAGTGATTTACTGCTTCTAGACACTGAAGCTTACAACATCTCAGCATCAGCTACCTCCTTCAGTTCTGGGCTTTAATCACACCTGGTTTTCAGTTTCACACATCTGTCGTGTTAAGTGCTCCACCTGTGTACACAACACTGTGTCAAAAATGGACTCCGACTTGAAACTCAATCGACCGTGGAGTCAGTGTGGGTCTGTTGCTTTGGCTCAAACCTGATGGCCGTGGTTCAGAAGGCGCTGTTTAAAAAGTCACTGATTCCGTGTGAAACTAGCTGTTGTCACCTTTCAAAGATCAGTCTTTCAGTCATTTATCTTTAATGTGTGCATCTGAAAAAAAAAAGGAATGGTGCAGCACCGAGGGTTGTGAGTGGTTCTTTCTTCACCAGACATAGTAAACAGCATGTGACCTGTGGTTAAAGGGAAACCATATAAGTAAGTGAAGATGAAGTCACACAGAACATAGAAGCAGCAGAGCAACTTTCTTCATTTTATCACTGAAACGGTAAGAGATATGTTGCACCGCTGCAAAACTTGAAAAAGGTTTGCAGTGCATTTCGTATTTAACCATTAAGCTTTTTCGTCATATGTTGCAATTATTAATAATTTATATATTTTTAAATATTTTGCGAGGTTTTGGTGTTTTGTGTTCCGTTATCATCCTCTGATTCTTTGCAGATAGGATGGAGGAACCACTGACAACTCTCATGACCACGGTCGCTGGTTATTACAATGAAAATGTAAGTTCGACTTCGACAATAAAATACAACTTGATTAATCCTAAAATCTAAAATTTTGTTTAGAATAAATCAAAAGAGAAAACAAGAACAAAACATCGAAAATGAGGAAGAGACACAATGCTGATGACTTATTATAGCTGATGTGTTCTATAATTGAGTTTAAGTAAAATATCATTTGAAATACAGTAAAACGTAAAGGTTAGAATAGAATACCAAATCACTTATATGTACAACATTTACTTTTTATTTGATGTCCTTATTTGTTGTTAATGTTACTGGTGTAAAGTTACAGTAGATTTATTGGACTCTATCAGACATTGAAATGCCACATATAAGAGTCAAAGCATCACGTTTTCCATTACTTGTGAAAACACAAGCCCCAGTCTCACACCTCGCTGTTTATCTCTGCTCTACATCTAAACTTTATGCATCTGGGGCACTGCTGAGTTCTGCTGCGGGGGCCCCTCTCTGGAGCCCCTCAGGATGGTTTAACCCCCTCGTCCCCCTCAGGCTTGGATAGCAGCAGGAAGTTGTGCAGTACTGTGGTTTCTCCTGCACAGACACAACACCTGCACCTGAAAGCCGTTTCTTTCCCACACTCTGGTTAGCATGTACGTCACTGATGGCATTCGATGTCGCTTCAATATGTTCCGACTAGAAACCTGTTATGAAACCATAAAAGCAGCAAGCTTTGACAGAAAATGCAACTGCACGCAACCCTGTTTTATTACCACTACTTCTTTTAGTAATTTTCTATTTTTAAATGCAGGACACCAGTGATGACTACTCAGATTATGACACGGGGCCAACTGAGCCCACAGGCATGTGCGACAAACGGTTAGTCCGGGAATTTCGTGGCCGGTACGAGCCACCTCTCTTCTGGATCATCTTCATCCTCGGGGCCCTGGGTAACCTGATGGTGGTGTGGATCTACACGACCGTGCGCAACCGCCTGAAAACCATGACCGACGTGTACTTGCTGAACCTGGCGGTGGCCGATCTCCTCTTCCTGTGCATGCTGCCCTTCTGGGCAAACAACGCCTTCAATGGCTGGGAGTTTGACGAGAGGTTTTGCAAACTGGTGTCCGGGGTCTACAAGATCAACTTCTTCAGCAGCACGTTCCTGCTCACCTGCATAAGCGTGGACCGCTACATTGCTATCGTACAGGTCACCAAGGCCCAGAACCTGAAGAAAAAGAGACTCTTCTACAGTAAACTCGCCTGCTTGGTTGTCTGGTCTGTCTCCATTCTCCTGGCCCTCCCTGAGTTCATATTTGCTCGGGTGAAGCCGGACCAAAACGGCCGGTCCTTCTGCACTCTCATCTACTGGAACAACAAATACAACCGGATTAAGATCCTGGTGCTGTCCCTGCAGATCTGCATGGGCTTCTGCCTCCCTCTGCTAGTGATGGTCTTCTGTTACTCTGTCATCATACGCACACTTCTGCAGGCCAAGAGCTTTGAGAAGCACAAGGCCCTGCGCGTCATCTTTGTCGTGGTGCTTGTGTTCATCCTCTCCCAGCTGCCATACAACAGCCTGCTCATAGTGGAGGCCGCGCAGGCAGCTAATACAACCATAACCGACTGCAACATGGCAATTCGTTTTGACGTGGCAGGGCAAGTCGCCAAGAGCCTGGCCTACACTCATGCCTGCCTCAACCCTTTCCTGTACGTCTTCGTTGGAGTCCGGTTCAGACAAGACCTCCTGAGGATGGTGAAGAGGTGTGTCGGTCGTCTGAGAACAGGAGGGTTGAGTAAAGCAAACGTAGTTCCCAAACGTCCGTCCATCATGTCAGAGACTGAGACTACCCCCGCCCTGTCATTATAAACACACATTCTCCTACAGTCCTTTTATAGACACTTGAGCATTTAGTGTCTAGTTGTAAACATGATTAAGTTTTCCCAGCATGCATTACCTGCCACCAGAGCAGCAATACAATATTCATCTCTGAAAGCAAATAAGAGTTTATGTTCATTTACATTCTCACAGTCACCAGCTTGGTAATAATTGTATAACCTGTACATTAGTGTAAATACAGTTTTTTGTTTGTATCTTTGCATCAATTCCACCATCTGTTGGTCTGTGTGCGGTTGTAAAACAATAAAAAGTCTGAAAATCTAAATCAAGTTGCAGTTTTCTTCTGTCCACAGCACAAAAACATGCTTCAAGTATGAGCCAGAGTGGTTGAAGTACCAATGATGGACAGTAACTCAGTACATTTACTCAAGTACACATTAGAAGGTACTTGTACTGTACATTAGTTCTGGCACTGATGCAACTTTCTACTTTAACTCTGCTACAATTGTCAATCAGCTTTATCAGCTTCAGGTGATGCTGTTAATGATGATGAACTGAGGATGAACTTTTCCTTTTCTATTTTTTAGAATATTATGATTTTCTATAGCCTGAATTAAAATACAGTATATAAAAGTTTATGAGTTAGTTCAAATGAGCTTTAACATCTTCAGTAAAAAGCAGCAAGCACATAAATAAGTAATGTTGCTCCTAAAATATCAGATGGAACAATAAATTGCACTCTAAGTATAAATATATCATTTCACATACAGACTGAATTATCTCAATGATGAGATGAGCAATTGATGTGTGTGCATACTATAAATGGAAAAGTACTTGTGTGCTTTCTCTGGTCTAACGTATCGTCTGTGGTGAAAACACAAGCTGGGGAATGTGACTTGTCTGATGCAGTATCTTTCGAAATGACTGGACGTCCTCCTGATGACTGTCTGTGCCACTGTTCATGCTGACTGTTGAAACTTATCTGAGTTCACTTATGACTTAGTACTTTCAACAGTCTGTTGAAACTGCAAATGAAAAAAGTTTCCCACATTAGTGTTGCAACGACAGATGGAAGACAGACAGACAAGTGACTGCGTTCTAATCTTTCCAAATCCACCACTTCAGGACACAATCAGCAAGTACTTTTACTTTTAATACTCTAAGTATATTTAAAAGCATTATACTCACTTTTGCTCAAGTAGAAACGATGTGGTACTTTTACTTGAGTACATTTCTGTTTATATTTACTTTTACTTGAGTAAATAGTTGAATACTTCCTCCATCACCACCAAATGAACAGACCCAGGCCACAGATTGGACAGTATGGTCGTGTGCTCATCAGAAGAGAGTGGGGGAATTAAGACATCTTGAATACCATCTCTGTCTATTGTTACCATCAGCCTGTTGACTTACAGAGAGCCGAGAAGAAAAGATAGATGGAGCATGAAAAAGACAGAAACATCATAAAGTACCGATTGGTTATGATCTCGCACGATGCAGCAAACAAATCTTGTGTGGTCACTGAGGTCGGCTCCAGACGTTCAGAGCCAACCTGCTGCGTTCTGGTTAGACCACAGATACATTCTTCTGTTTCCCTCAGTTGTTCATGGTTCTTTCTCTCTCACGACAGGAAACCATCAGTCAAGGCAATAACAACATGAGGGGCTGGAGCATGCTGTGGATGTTTCTAGGGCACTGGGCAGATGTCTTGCATTTGAATGAACTTCAGAGATGCTGATATTACTCAGCACAGCTTTAGTGTACTTGTGTAAAAACTTGTGTATTTCAGTTTCATATTCAAGTTTTGCAGTGATTCTTATTCTGTTTCTATCTAGTTCCCTTGAAAACAATCAAGCTGCTCCACATCGCACTAATAGATATCAGCCCCTCAATACGTCTCATTTGTTTCATCAAGATCCATGAATTAATCCCTGTTGAAAAGCTTGCAATGTCAAAGACAGACAAAATTCCTGGATCCACACCAACGTTTTTTTTGCATGCTGTTGCTTGGACAGCAGTGAAAAGGTCATAATTATTCCAGAAGTATTATTTTATATGAGTTGTTCCCAACCTTGTTTTCTTCTTCTTGGCTTGAGTACAACTTTTTTCTCACAATATTTGTCATATTTGAGGTAAAAGTGTCAAAATAAAACTCAAAGGGCAAACAAAGACAAATCCAAAAGTCCAAACACAAGAACATACTGAAGCGTCCAAACACAAAAATTCTCTCATAAGAAGAATCACAACAAGTTCTCTTTCTTTTCCTCTGTAGTTAATCAGACTGATGTCAACCTGGGTGTTGAAACCGTTTATTATATCAAACTTTAATGGGGTAGAGAAAAAAAAACTTAAAATGGTACATTTACTTTCATCTGAAAACATTTAGTTTATGTATTTGTACGTTTACATAAGTAAAACGTTTAAATGCTTCCTCCACCACCACTTCACTGAGGGTTATCCTGGGTTTTATTGCTGGCTACCAGTAATTTCAACCACAAGGTGGCGCACCTCGCTCAGCAGAGTTGGTTTCAGCAAAAACACGTGTTAGAAGAGAATCTAGCGCCATCTAGTGGCAGTTTGGAGGAGATGAGCGGTCATACATTCAGTGTCAAGTTCATGAGGGTTCTCCTCTCCTTCCCACAGAGCTGCTAATAGACAGGCAGATTGATTGTGTACTGCAGGACTAAAACTCCACGTTCCTCATTATCCCACAGCTCTGGAGCAGCACGGTAATCACCACCGGGGAGAACGGCAAAAACGCAAAGAAGAAAAAAGAAGTGAGCAGGTCTGAAGTGTGTTGTGAAGAATGCAAAAGACTCACAAGTAGAGCAGCACCTGTGGTTTGGGAGCATCCCATCCATCTTTGTGCACAGGGGGGAATTATGTGTGTGTGTGTGTGTGTGTGAAGGAGACGTGTGAAAGGAGGATGTACTCTGAGTAATAGGAGAGAAAGAAAGAGCATATGTGACCCATTGATACTGAATGAGCTGCTCTCAGCCGTCCTCTGGTCCTGTTCTGTGGACCACAGGGACGAGGACTCCACCGGCTTTGAGCTCCATGTTCTACCTTCACAAGTCACAAATAGCCCGTCGTGAAAGTTTGGGCCTGCGTTGGTAAATTTCAGGCACACTGGGAAGGAAACAGTGAAATAATGTGCAACAAACTGAATGAAAAACAGACAATATCTGTTATCCAGGCAAACAGGATCTTCATTCAGCTCCACGGAGTAAAAGGAAATGTAATAGAACTTAGACCTCCACAATTCCAGCCCAAACAGGGAGCTGCTTATCACCCGCCATCTCTCCCACAGCTAATATTTCACTTCAGCTTCAGCGGGGCCCACAGAATGAGAGACGTTTCCATTTCATGTCAGTCATTTCCAGGCCTGTGTGTTACCTGTGTGGTGATAAGTGTTTGACTGACTGGGAACGTCGTTAGTCACTGTCCGGCTCCGAGTGACAGCCGCAGATTGACGCCGATGATGAGAGGAAGGAGAGGTGTGTTGGGGGACGGAAATAAAAAAGAAAAACATGGATGATGTAGAGGGAGGAGGAAACACATTTACACACGTGTGATAACAAATACAAAGCCACGCACCGACACACTGAGCACATCACGGTGCATTAAAAGAGGAGGCGTGTTGTGAGGACACAATCAATGTATACGGACAAATGGGATCACATGCTTTAAACGTTTAGTTTATTTTATCATCTGCTTATGTCTGTTGTCTTTGTTTGTTTGTGGACACTTTTTAATATTCATTCAAGTGTGTTATAAAACTGTTTACAGAATTCTTTTCAAGGAATCTTCCTGAAAATTAAGTTATTTCATAGTAAATTACAGCAAAGTTCCCTAAATGTGTTTAATTTTATTGCCTACATCCATGAGAAATATGTGAAAACATCAAATAACGGTCTATTTCATAATGTTCAGAATTGAATGGGTTCTATCTTGAC